ATGTTCAACTCATCTTTATTAATAATATTATCTATTTTTTCCAAGATTGTAAGTCATGGAAAAGCATTTTGCGTTGTCATATTGAGTGCGTTCAGACAACTCAACGGTTGAGAGATCATCACGTATGATAGGACTATTCTTCAAAATCTGCAGCGGTTCCAAAAATATGATCCAATCAGAAGTGATTATCTCTCAACCGTTGTGCAACTGTTGAGTTNTCTGAACGCACCCATTGTCATACGCTACAAGCACGCAACGAAACATTGCTTTCTAGTCTCAGGGTCTCGCGTTACGGGTGAAAGCGAGGCAGAACATAGTATGTCTGCGCTCTTTCACGAGCCGAACAGCCGAGCGTGACGTCACGCACACGGACGGCGGTTCTCGCTGTATGCGTGCCCTCACCACCTCGGTGCTCTTGGTGCTGGCCGGCCCGATCTAGTAACACTGGCTCCACCGTGCATCTGAAGCAACGACCGCATTGGTAAAAAAACATGAGCAAAAAGTTGCAAGCGCGACACCGCGATCGAACCTACTTACCTCAAACCAACAAAACATTTCGATACGTCAATAACGCGAATGCATCGACTTTGCGCGCATCGACACGTTCGGTGATATTTATAGCGCCACATTATCAAGAAATCGTGACGTACTGAAGTGTTTTCTTTCGGATTATAAGGAAAAAGGGATCAAAAATATACCACTTATATCGTGCAACATTTTATTATGAATAGTACATATATGTGCCACAGAGATACCGTTGACACCGCGTTATCAACGATACTTGTTGTTGTCTGAAAGTCGAGTGAGATTGATTGCACAGACCGAACTGCATTGAACGATAGCATCAACGCAATACAATAGTGCGGTGCCGCTGTCTTCGCAAAAAACACTCAATTCCTCCGACAACGAAAAATAACCGAAATAATATCGCACACCGTGCAACTACGAGAATACTTTTTATCTCGTCGTACCGACTGCGCCCGATATCGCATATGGGTAATTCTCAAAAAACGTAATCTCCGTGGATTGTAATCTCCGTGGTATATTGACATAAAAAACATAGATAAGTTTTTTATATTGCATTGTCACGTATTCATATTACAAATGGTGACTTAAAATGGTATGAAAAAACATAATTCACCGTTATCCGTTAGTTAATAATAATTATTTTTTATCAAAACTGAAAGTTGAAATTTACGCGTTCACAGAGAATCACCCATATACGCGAGCGCGTTTACATAATTGTACACTCGTATTATTGCCAAGCGCGATAACGCGCAGCACGTACAATTGTTTGTTGGGTTTTGCTTGTACGGAGACCGTCGTTTGTTGGGTTTTGCTCGTACAAAGATCATCGATTGCACGTGAGTGTTGGGCTAGACCCACCGGTCGCGCCGCGCGCCGACGAACGTTTCCGTACCGCTAGCGATCGCGGGCCACGCCAAGCTCTATCTTGAGTTTACGTCTATGAACGGTCAACAACGGTAAGTACTGTTGCAAACAATGCTCCAACAATGTTCCGTACATAGACGTATTTCAATCCAGACGGACTCTCAGGCGCGACCGCGGCTGCGACGCGAGCAGACGGGTCGTTGTAGTCCCAATGTATGAAAAACGCGCTCGATCGAGACAACGTTCCGAAGGGCGTGTTCCGTTTGACCACAGTACGATTCGACACCG